ACTTTAGTCTATACTAAGGTGACCAGACGTCCTGCTTTTGGCGGGACAGTCCCGATTTCTGGCGTTTTAAAACAGTCTCAATTTTTGGAAAGAATGCACGACAAGCTAGGGAACGGTCTATTTGGTCCATATAGACCAAATTTTAAATCAAGAACCCCCACCCCCCACCCCACCCCCTGGTGTCCCGCTTTAAATCTGGTCACCTTAGTTTATATCTCTATGCCATTTATTAACTCATAACTTGTGCATGGACCAAGAGGCAGTCGTGTGAACAAAACAAGGGAATACTGTATGGTTTAAAATCAGGAAAGGTGTGAGTCAGGGTTGTAATCTCTCACCATATTTATTCAATCTGTATTCTGAGTAAATAGAGGAGCTGGATTATATGAAGAATGTGGCATCAGGATTGGAGGAAGGTGTATGGCCGGATCAATACCAGGCCGGCTTCTAGCAGCAAGTGACTTTGAATCTCCCCCACCCCTGCAGAGCTGACCAGAGCTGGCTGAAACAACTAGCAGCGAGTAACCTTGAATTTCCCACACACACCTGCGGAGCTGACCAGAGCTGGCTAATGGCCCAATTTATTCTTGACCCACCACTCTACACCCGGCACGCCCGTTTGACTCAGTGCCCTCTTTGGTCTCGGCCCGCTACTCTGCATTCGGCACGAATACACCCGGAACCAGGAAAACACCTTACATTCCAGAAACCCAGACATACTTGTATTTTCCAATCCCTGACTACTTTACCTAATATGGACTCAAGGCAGCCCAGTCACATGTACCCAGGCTATATAAACACTACTCCTGTAGTCTGGAGTGCGACTCCCTCAGCCAGGACGCTGTGGACCGTGGGACTTCACCCAGGTGGATTTTTCTCCCTAATAAAGCCTGTTTGCTCTAATTTGACTGATTTGCTCTCTGGCGCCTCTCGACTACCTTACAGAAGGCTTATTTACAACCTGAGTAACACAGGTAACACAACCTTGCTTGCTGAAAATGATGTCCTTGCTGATTAAGATCAAGAATTGCAGCCTTCAGCATGGATTAAGACTCGATGTAAAGAAGACAAATTCTTACAACAGGATTATTGGGGGACATCATGATGAAAATGTTGAAGTTGTCAATGATTTTGCCTTACTTGAATCCACGATCAATGCTCATAGAAGCTGCAATGAAGACCAAAAGATGAGGTGCATTAAGTAAATCTGCACAAGACTTCTTTAGAGTATTGGAAAGCAAGGATGTTACTTTGAGGACTCAGAGGCATCTGGCCCAAGCCATGGTATTTACTATATATATTTAAGTATAAGCTGACCCAAATTTTTCAAAATTTTAGTTTGAAAATTTCGGGTCGGTTTATACTCGGGTCAATTTTGGCTTGGCTTATACTTGCGTATATAACAAGATTTTATTTTGAAAGCTTCAGGTCGGCTTATACTCGCGTATATATGGTAAGTGCCTGGTATGCATGTGAAAATTGGACATTGAATAAGGAAAACAAATTGATGCATTTGAATTGTGGTGTTGCTATAGTGAATATTGAAAGTACCATGGACTGCTAAAAGGACAACCTGATCTATCTTGAAAAAAGTATTGCCAGAGTGCTCATTAGAGGCAAGGATGGACATTAAGAGAATCCAGCCCCTGGAGAGGGAACTCATGTGCTTGGTAAAGTGGAGGGGCAGAGAAAAAGAGGAAGGCCCTCAATGATGTGGATTGACACAGACACTGTTGCAATGGGCTCAGGCATAGTCAAGTTGTGAGGATGTGTGGGACAGGGCGGTGTTAGCTTCTGTTGTGTGAGAGTCGCTATGAATCAGAACTGGCTTGATGGCACCAAACAGCCACATTATCCATTATTGATTTATTGTTATACTCTCAAAATTGATTTATGCAATAGTGCTACAAAAATCAGTGTAAATTGTTAATTCTTTCCCCCAAGCATTTGTTTAAAATTTTCTTTTTCACAAGTTACTCGGCACTGATGATTTATAGTGTAAATTAATTTTGTCACTTGTACTTATAGGTAGTTTCAGGTAGTTCCAAACTTTTGATGAGTTTTTTATTTTTACTCTGTTGTAAGCCAGTTTTTATGTAAGTGGAATGCCTGTAAAAACAATAATGTCTTTTCTTTGATTTTAAAACTAGTTTATTGTGTCCAAGGTGAGAATTTTCACAGTTAAATTCCCATTTGCCAGCTCATACACAAATTGCTGTGACATTTGTTACGGTTCCTACAATGTGTCAGCTCTCTTAGCATTTCCAATCCACCTGCCCTTTCCCTTTGTCCAGTCCCCCTGCCCCTCCTGGCCTTTTCATCTTTGTTTTTGGGTAAATGTTGACTTGTATAGTTGATTTTCTTAAGCAGTATATTCCTCATAGGTGTTTTAGTCCAGGTTGACTAGAGAAACACTCATATGTGTGTAAGAGAGGGGTTTATATAAAAGAGCAATTGTATATTGAGAAAAAAAATCGCAGACCAGTTCAGATGAAGTCCAATATTATCCCATATATCTGTAAATTCCTGTTTAGACTCATGCAACATATGCAATGATGCCATTTGCCGGTAGATCACAGGCTGGTGGGTGGAAAGTTTTGTGGATCCAGTGACAGTGGAAGCATCTCAGTGCTAGCGTGGGTCTCCATTTGGCTCCTCCAGCTCCAGGGCCCTGACTGTCATCAGCATGGCTCTATGTGCTTGTCAACAGAAATGTGAAGCAGAGAGCGAGATTGACCTTCCTCCAGGGAGAAAGGGAGGAAGTCTCCCAAATCCTCATGAGAAGGTCAGGCCCACTGGAGGCATCATCGGGATGTGACCTGATTGACAGGCTAGACTCCACCCCTCCCATCTTAATATCCTCAAGTTGACACATGATTATGTAACTACCACAGGTCTTTTTTTTTTTTTTTAATAGGACAATCTATTATTTGCCTGACCTATTTCCTCTGGAGTTGTTTAGTAGTTGATTAAAAGGGTATTTTGGCCAACGATTGCCCTTTTGCTATCAGTATCTTTATAAATTTGATCTTTGTTTGCCTTTGGGCGTTGGGAACATTACACATAAATGTACAGATTTGTTAACATAAGCAAATTACAGACTGCAAAAGTGCGGTTACTTGTAACTCAAATGTATTATAGGTCAGGAACTACCTGTATTAGTTATGTTGACCTTTAATTTACATATTTTACTCTAAGCCGAAAACCTGTGCTTCATTATGGTCATCACATATTTAACTTTCAATAGATTATAAACTCTTTGAGGGTAGGGACCGATCTTAAACATTTGAGTTTACCGCTGATAATTTCCTTGTAAATCCTAAGTCCTCATTTAATGTTTACTAACTGATCATTAAGATGAAAATGACTCATCTAGAGACGTTTTGGTTAGATACAGGGAAATAAATATTAGGTAGTAAGTGTGATCAGTTGTTAAACATATCCAGATAGGACATGGTGTAAATTAATGACTGACCACATTTTATTTCTTATGTTTTGTTTTTCACTTCTTTTAATGCTTTTTATCTTCACTGATCATGACAAATTTTGACCTGTGAAGATTTACAAGGCTTCTGTTTCATAGTTTAAGATCAGGCTAGTTTTTTTTTTTTTTAATTTTACAATTTTTAAAAAATAATTAAATCATTTCATTGGGGGGCTCATACAACTCTTATCACAATCCACACATACATTCATTGTGTCAAGCACTTTTGTACATTTGTTTCCCTCATCATTTGCTTTCTACTTGAGCCCTTGGTATCAGTTCCTCATTTTACCCCCTTCCTTCCTCCCCCATGAATCCTTGATAATTTATAAATTATTATTATTTTGTTATATTTTACAACGTCCAATGTCTCCCTTCACCCACTTCTCTGCTGTCCGTCCTCCAGGGAAGAGGTTATATGTAGATCCTTGTAATCTGTTCCCCCTTTCGCCCTCACCTTCCCTCCACCCTCCGAGTATCGCCATTCTCACCATTGGTCCTTAGGGGTTCATCTGTCCTGGATTCCCAGTGTTTCCAGTTCCCACCTGTACAAGTGTACATCCTCCGGTCCAGCTGGACTTGTAAGGTAGAATTGAGATCATGATAGTGCGGGGAGGAAGCATTCAAGAACTAGAGGAAAATGTTATGTTTCATCATTGCCACACTGCACCCTCACTGGCTTGTCTCCTCCCGGTGGCCCTTCTGCAAGGGGATGCCCAATGGCCCACACTCTGCACTCCCCCCCATTCACAGTGCTGTGATTTTTTGGGTCTTTGATGCCTAATACCTGATCCCATTGTCACCTCATGATCACACAGGCTGGTGTGCTTCTCCATGTGAGCTTTGTTGTTTCTGAGCTAGATGGCCGCTTGTTTATCTTCAAGCCTTTTAGACCCCAGATTCTCTATCTTTTGATAGCTGGGCACCACCACCTTTCTTCACATTTTCTTATGCACCTACTTTGTCATCAGCGATTGTGTTGGGATAGGCTGGTGTACTTCTTCCATGTGGGCTTTGTTGTTTCTCAGCTAGATGGTCGCCTGTTTATCTTCAAGTCAGGCTATTTCTTTATCATCATTCCTATAAAGGAAGCTTTCTTGATACAGAGAAGAAAATTCATTTATGTATTTAGTCTTGAAGTGATTTTCAGGTTTTTTTTTCTTGTTATGCTAAAAAAGGGGCTTGAATCTTAGTTTTCTTTTTCCAAAGAAAGAAAAGCATTACAAAGTTAGAAATTTTATGATATGAGCCTGTGCTTCTTATTTTTGATTTTTCTCATTTTTATTACAAAACAGCATATTTTGAAGGGAGATCTTATATGTAGCTCATATTGTATTTAGCAAGATAAGATTCATAGGGTAGGGTATGAGTGATTCAGGAAAATGAAGAAATTACACTAGTAAATAGAAGTTCAATTCATATTTTGAAGACCTTAGCTATTACAGTGTGATTGAGAAATAGTTGACCATATTTTTAAGTGTATAAACAATTTTTTAAAGTTGTTTTTGCATTACAGTGAATGATTTAGGAGGAGACTTTAAAGGAGATGGTAAAAGCTCTTCAGCTGCTGATAAAGTTGTTGAAGAAATAAGAAGGAACGGTGGAAAAGCAGTGGCCAACTACGGTAAAGTATTTGAACCAGTACAATTTATTGTTACTAAACTAATGATTTTTCTCATACTAGTAAAACACTGAAAAAATATCTTAGCATTCCAATGTAATTATGAAATTAGATTTAAGCTAACCTGGCCAAAGCTATTTGTAAGAAATTGTCGTGTATGTGGGAATTTTAAAACTTGTAATAGAGTTTATTTCACAGAATTCTAACCTTTCTATGTCTTACTTAGTTTTAAAATTAATGAGCACACAGTAGAATACGTAACACTGTATATATGGATATGCTTTTGTTCTAAAAAATCTTTTTATTTAAAAGTTTGTGGGAAGATGAAATGAAGACATAATAGAATTTTCCCACAAACTTTTTGAAGTTCTTTAATATTCTCCTTTTAAAAAATAACAAAAGTAATACATTGTAATAAATAAAATGCTCCTTTAAAATTTTATGATTAATTTTATTTTTTGAAATGCCCCTTTGTATAACCAGTTGTCATATTCACTGTGTACAAGTAATCATGTTATATGTAACTTTCTAATCTTATTTAAAAATGTAAGAGTATGTTGTGACATGCTGTCCAGTAGATTATGTCTCATGGTGGCCCCAAGTGCAGAATAGAATTGCTCCAGAGGGTTTCCAAACGATGACCTTGCAGAAGCAGCTCACCAGTCATGCTAAAAGCCAAGTGTTTCCCCATTTACTCTATCCAAAGATGCTTATAAACAATAACAGCAGAATTGCTGATTGTTATCCAGTTGATTTGTCTCATGGCAACCCCATACGACAGGATAGAACTTCCTTTGTGGGTTTCCGAGACTGTATCTCTTTACGGGAGTAGAAAGCCTGTGCTTCTGAAGGATGCTCAAAGTCAAGTCATGAGAAAAGTTAGAACCTATGATCATAGCCTTTTTGTTTGTTGAGTTAATCTCAATAATAATTTTAAGGAATTGTAAAATAGATTTACTTTAAAAATTCTATTGATTACTGATTTTCTTGCAAACTAAAATTATTTTTGTTGATAAAAGGATAAAATTAAATTGCCTGTGACTTCATATTGAAATTTTAAGGGGGTGAAATTTGAGTGTTAAAGACATTTTTATGTTTTCAATTTATACTGGAGATACAGAGAAATGTAAACATTGTTTTAAAACTCAGATTTGAGGTTTAATAATTCCAGATGAAAATACCACCCTCCCTATTGCCATCCATTCCCCTCCCCCCCCTTCTGATCTGCAACCTGTGTCAAGGCCGGTGTTTCCCAGTGGGTGATAGCTGAGAGGACTAGAATGTCCCAGGGGACTGCAAAAGCAGTTACCTTCACTTCATTCTGGATTATGGACTAAAATACAAGTTCAAACGTTTTTAATTGCCTAGGGGTACTGAGTAATTTTTTCTGGAAAGGGGGTAATAGGCCATATAGATTTGGGAACCTGTATTCTAGTTTTTCCAATTATGGAATACTTTAATACAAGGAATTAGAGATTTACACAACTATTGGAATGTCAGGGTGAGCCAAGGGTATGGAAGGTGCTGCTGATTATCTTAGCCTACAGTAGGGGATTCTCAAGAATTTCCATCTCACACCTGTTGGCTGCATCTGAAGCTTTTTTTTTTTTTTTAAACCTTCTGGCTGCTGAACTCAGGACCTAATTCAGAATCATGAAGATTCCAAGGGAAGGGATACATTTTCTGTCTCCTCTCCTGGATTGCAGAGCATATAGAAAGAGGCAGTGCTGATGTTGAGTTGACAGCAGACTATTTGGCACATAGTGGTAGGGAGTGTGAGCCCTTTTAACTGAGACTAGCAGAAAATAAAGCCATCATAGTTTGCTCAGTTTTACTTTCTGTAGTTAATATTATAAAAAATCAAAACAAAACAAAAAAAGTAGGGCTTTTCTTATGTGGCTATGTAACTCTATACATGCTTTGTAAATTATACATGCATCTCCTTACATGGTTTCTTCCCCCAAATCTGACATGCATTTGCATCGGGGAAAGTATGTATGTGACTCTTTTAAGCTAAATATAAATAAAATGAAACTTAATTGTTCAGTTGGTCTCTTATGGCCCCATTTACAGCTCCCAATGTCACATGTGACTAGTGGCTACTATGTAGGACAATTCCCAAATAGAACATGTCCATCATTGTTGGTAGTTGCTCATGAGTTGACTGATTCATAGAAACCCCATGTGTGTCAGAGTAGAACTGCTCCATGGCGTGTTGAAGGCTGCGGTATTTTGGAAGCGGATTGCCAGGCCTGTCTCCTGAGGCACCTCTGGGTGTTTTCAAACCACCAGCTTTTTGACTAGTGGTAGAGCGTCTGTACCATCCAGGGGCTGCTTTTCATCATTACAGAATGTTTTAGATTTCTTGTTCTCCCCACTTCCCCCACCTTAACAGAATTTTAAAAAGGGTTCTTGAAAGGGCTAAACTTTTTCTGTTAAATTAAACCACTTATATTTTAAATTTTTCTTTGGAATGAGTTCTGCTGGTGAATATGCCACAGGCCATTGAAATCGTTTGCAAGCGAGATGACTGACTTGTACTGATTTCCCTTTCCCTTCAGATTCAGTTGAAGCAGGAGAGAGGATTGTGAAGACAGCACTGGATACTTTTGGAAGAATTGGTAATGTTTCTATGAGTTACGCTTCTTATAGAGAAGTTTCTACCTTTTCCTTTTTAAATCACTTCATTGGGGGGCTCATGACAATTTTATGACAATTCATCATTAAATCATATTAAGCATACTTGTACATATGTTACCATCAACATTTCCAAAACATGCTTTTGCCTTTTTCATAGAATACTGTTGATCATATTTTTGTTTACTAAACAGGTCATTCCTTCTTGACAATCAGATTTTAGGTTTGTTTTGCAAATTAGTTAATTATTTACCAACCCAACCTCTGTTCCACAGAGGTTAGGATGACAGCTGTTGCATGGTTTTGTAAGCTGTTGCTGGTGGTGCTGTGAGTTAGGGGCGGGGCTGCTAACTGGAAAGTGGAGGCTCACACCTACATGCTCTGAGGGAGAGGTTGTCCGTTCTGGTTAAAAGAAGATGCTATGTAGGGCTGATAGGCATTGATGGCAGTGGGATGTGATTTTGAACACCTAAGTGTTTAAAAAAGATTGCAAGCATTCTCTCAATGATCTTTTTATAAAAATTTAGTTAAATCTCAAATATGTTAAAACATAAAAGAAATCAATAGTTTGGCAGCTCAGGAACCAGAGCTCTTTTGGATAATCATATTGATTTGTTTTAAGATGATTCAGTGTCTTGCAAATCAATCAAAGTGAATTGTATAATAAGAAAATTTCTTTTTTAAAAGGAAGCTTTTCAAATATTTTTCTTTCTCTAGATAATCTTCCTGATATGGTCTCACACACTTTATAAAAGCTAATTGAATTAATAGAGGGCCATTTTTGCAAAGAAGTCTAGTATGTTTATAATATGAAAAATAATAATTTCTGTAATATGAATATGCCTATTTTAGCTTTAGCATATATATTATTTTAGTTTTGTCTTGTTGAAAGTGTATAAGAGAGATGTTCACATATCAACTGACCGGTGGAGGAGATCAAAAGTGTGAAATCATAGGGTGAACGTAGCAGTGAGATAATATGGTTAAATCTTAAAAAAAATTTTTAATGTAATGAGACTATAATTATGTATCAAGATAAAGCATCAGTTTTTACACTTGATCTTAGCCTAAAGGCTGAGAAGCAATTAAAGCATCCGTTTTTAATGTCAGTCATACCCTTTCTGGACATAAGATTTTTCAGTGGCAAGGCAAATTAAAAAACAAAACAAAAAACAACTTTTGAATATCTGAGTAGATTTTGATATTAAATGAGTGATGATATGTGACTTTTACCACTAATCTATGTTGTTGTTGTTTTTTTTAATCTGTGAGAGTTTCAAAAAAGGTACAGGTAGAAAAAAATTAGAAATATAAGTTTTAGAGGAAAAAGCTAATATAATGTGATACTTATAGATCACTTTTATGGCTATAGTTACAACATTTTGTTTTGAGAACACTCAGTATATTTGCTTTCCCTTAAAAAAGCAGTTATGAAAGAAATGTGAGTTATAAGCCAATGCAAGTTAATTTACTTACTTTTTAATTTAAGATCTCGATTTTTTATTGCAGATATTGTGGTCAACAATGCTGGGTGAGTATTTCCTTCCCCATTTTTAGTAATGTGCTTGCAAGGCGCTTTTAAAAAAATGCCCCTTTATTTAAATAGTTTTATTGACATGTACTACATGTCATATAATTTAATCATTAAGTCATATTAAGAATAGTTGTAAAAAATAAAAAGAATGGTTGTATATACATCACCGCGATTAATTTCAGAACATTTTCTTCTCATACTCAATGTTATTAGCGTCCAGTTTTCCCCACCCTCCCCTGCCATGCCCCTGTTGTTCTTGTTAGGTGCCATCGGGTTGGTTCTGACCCAGAGAGATCCTACACACAACAGAACTAAACATGGTACGGTGCAGTGCCATCCTTAGAGCTGTGCCTATGCCTGAGCCCAGTGTTGCAGACACTGTGTCAGGTGATATTGTTGAGGCCCTTCCTTTTGTTTCACTGCCCCTTGACTTTACCAAGCATGATAGCCTTCTTCAGGGACTGGTCTCCTGACAACCTGTCCAAAGTGTGTAAGATGAAATCTTGCCATCCTTACTTCTAAGGAACAGTCTGGCCCCTATCCTGGATTTTGTATACAGGAAATCATGCAAACACAAACTGGAACAAAAAAAAAATATCCCAAAAGAAAACAAAAAACCCAACAGTGTCTAGACAAAATATCTGAATCAAAAAGAAAGCAGAAAACATTAAAAACAGAAACAAAAAACAAACAACAAACAAACCAGAAACAACGTTAGTATGAGTCCAAAGGAAGGTCAAATGATAAAGTATTACATTTTAACCTAACTACATCTGACCAAATCAGCTTTTCAATGCCCTCTGTCTGATAGCAAGGCTATTCTCATCCCAGGGCTAAATTCAGAGGGAATTCGCCAGGGGCTTAATCCATGTGGGGACCCTGCAAATGGATTTTGGCCTTCCATTGTCATCTATAGCCTACTGCAAACCAGGTCTTCACAATTTAAAAGTACTTTTTAAAAAATGTATACTTTGCCCTCCACTTTCCTCACTGTCCATAATGTGCTTTTTTTTAAAGGATTTTAAGGGATCGTTCTTTTGCTAGGACAAGTGATGAAGATTGGGGTAAGTTGTTTTAATATATATCTCTGTGGAAACACCTACCCATTTAACTTTAATATTTGATAAAATTATATATTTAAAGCAAAATTTGCCTCTACTTACTTTTGCTGTTGTTAATATGAATGCACGAACTTTAAAAGGATGAAGAGTTGAAAGCAATGCTTTCTTTTTTTCACTTTTGATAGCAACAACAACAACAAAACGTTAAAATCATTTGGCAGGAGTTATCCAGAGAGTCTCTTTTCAACTTGCTTTTCCTTTTTTCTCATTAAGAGGTTGTCAGTGTTTTCTAATTATTAACTCCTTTAGAAGGAGTCCTGGTGGTCCAGTTGTTGCTTGGCTGCCAACTTAGAGGTCCAAGGATTCAAACCCACCAGGGACTCTGTGGGAGAAAAGACCTGTTGATCTGCTCCAGTAAAGATGATAGTTTAGGGCATCTTGTGAGCTGTTCTACTTTGTGCTGTAGGGTTGTCATGAGTCAGAATCCACTAGGCAGCCCACATCTACTACTACAGGAGTCCTTAGCAGGTTATTTAGCTGAAATTCTTTTTTCCAGAACAGTAGCAGTAGATGATAGGGAGTCTAGGACATTAACATATTATGGAGATATGAGAACAGGGTAGAAGAAAATCAGGATGTAAGTTATACTTTGGGCTGCTAACCACAAAGTCAGCAGTTCAAAACCACCAGCAGCTTTTGGGGTGAAAGAGAAGAGGCTTTGTTCTCTTGTTAAGAGGTACAGTCTCAGAAACCCACAGGGGAAGTTCTAGCCTGTCCTGTAGGGTCACTATGAGTCGTAATCGATTAAATGGCATTGAGTTCGGTTTTAATAAATAGGAAAAATTTCCATTAGTGATACCAGATAGGAAAGGTTGAATTTAGATAGTGAATAAATCAGAGTTCTAGAAAAAAAAATATTTTATTTTTTGCCCTTTGCTTTCACTTTATTGGGTCACAGAACTAAACAGTAAAGTGAGACAATAGAAGCCATGGCAACTAAAGTGAACATTATCATTGCTTATGGAGTATCCATCTGGGGACTAGTGCCAAAAGTGCTTTTGGAAGGAGCAAAGTACAAATATATCTGGCTTTATTGTGCTTTGTTTTATTGCCTCTCCTATATACTATGTTTTCTACACATTTCTTGAAGGTTTGTGACAAACCTGTTTTTAGCAAGTCACTCGGTGCCATTTTCCTGATAGCATGTACTCACTTCATACCTCTTGCATATTTGGACAATTCTTACAGTATTTTAGACGTTTCATATTGATATTAAACTCTTAATCGACTATAGTATAGTGTAAACATAAATTTTATATGTACTGTACTGAGAAACCAAAAAGTGTGTGCAACTCATTTTATTGCTATAGTCACTTTTTGGTGGTGGTTTGGAATGGAGCCTGCCATCCCTCCGGTATGCCTGTACTTCTGCGACTTCTCTTCACATATACTAGGGTCGAGGAGAAGCCCAGATGGACATAGGATATTGGGAAAGAGGAGCTTATGCTGGCACTTGGGAGTTCTTTTGAGTCTGGGTGTTTTCTCTTCTCTGGTTCTGTCCTAAGAAAATTACTTTCAACTACCCTTTTCTTCTCTCGCCCTGCTTATCTTCTATTGTACAAATGGAAATATTTTTTGAGGCTCCAGAATGAAACAAAAATAAGCAAGGATGGTTAAAAAGCTCTGATGACTAAAAGAATAAAATTAGAGCAAGAATGATTTGTCTATCTGAACCATTCTTTCAGTTGTCTACCATCCAATTTAAATCTGTAAGAACAAATAAGCTTCTTATTGCTTTCAACTCATTTGCAACCTGGTAAAAACAGGGATACAGCATTTTCCAAGCATTCTTTGGTGATGATTTGTATGATTTATGATTATCTTTCACCTAATGTTAGTAGTACTGTATGCCAATTATGTATGTAAAATTCCTGAGAACTCATGTCAATTGTTGTTAGATGCCAATGAATTTATATATAAGAAAGCATACATTAAAGGTAGCATTGTAGTTAGATGTGTCCAGAGGTTATTATTTTACTGACTCCAGAGCAATTGGTTTGGCTGGATTTTTAAATTTTTATTTTGGTATCATAAATTATAGAGAACACTTGTAAGTCTTAGTATAAACCATTGGTTGTCAGAAAAATTGGAACAAAACAAAACAAAACAGACAAAAATGTTTATAAAGCATTCTCAGAGAGGAAAGTGGGAATAGGTGATTGAGAAGCTAGTTATAAAATGAACATCTTTGTGTAAATAAACCATTCTCTAAATTATTTATTAATTTGATTTAAATCTCTTACGTTGAGCCTTCGATAATTTCTTGCTTTAGATTTAATCCATAGAGTTCATTTGCGGGGCTCCTTCCAAGTGACCCGAGCAGCATGGGACCACATGAAGAAACAGAATTATGGAAGGTAGAGTTGAATATGACTGTCAAGGGTATTATAAATGTTGTCTGTGGGGGCCTTTGTATACAGGGGAAGATGATGTTCTAAAAAAGCGATATGAAATGATTGCTCAACATTGAAAATGCCTTTAATATGTGTAGGCTTGTTTATTGTAGTCTTGGCATAGGCCCTCTAATAAATTGGTGTCATGCAGTCACAGTTTAGCTACGCAGTTTTATATTTCTTTTATGTCCCACTTTTCATTACTAATGTTCATTCTCTGGTTCTCTAGCATTTAAAAGAGCAGTTCAGACATTGAGGATTCAGCTGTATGTACTTCATTCTGTAGCCAAAATGTCATTTTGCGTCTTCAGTGACCAGTTGGGGAGAGATGAGTAGCTATTTCCTGCTAGCTTGTGCTGGTTAGACATCACTTAGTCTTTGTAAACTGTTTGGAAGCTATAGGACTTCTCTTGATTGCTTCTATGTGAGGAACTTAGACATGGCAGTTTTGGTAAATGCTTCTAAAGGTCCTACAGGTCTGTACACATTTAAAGCAGAAACTACCTTTGTTGCCATCTAGTAGATTCCAGCTCACCACAATCCTGGGTTCAGAACAGAACTGCTCTCCATTGGGCTTTTAATGGCTGTAAACACATGGAGTTTCCATGAGCTAGAATTGATATATGACATCGGGTTTGATTTTTAGTTTTAATTTGTATGACTGTAGATCACCAGGCCTGTCTCCAATGTACTTCTGGGTGTGCTTAAATTGCCAGCTTTTACTTAGTTGCCAAGAGGAAGCTATTTGTACCACCCAAGAACTCATACACTGGAAGTCAATTATTTGTAATACCGAGTACTATTGGAAATTTATAGTTTATCTTGATCCTAGCCATTTTTATAAGTTAATTATATTACTTATTTCACTTCATCAAAGAATGGGTAAGGTTGGGTCAGATTGTCACGTGGTGTTGTTTAAATATGAGACATATTATACCTATCCAGAACGGGAGACGGGCATGGTGATGAGGACTGAACATTACAACTCCTTCTGATCTTTGTTGCTAAAATTTTAACTCGTGGTTTGCCAATTTGTTTTATATTTATATTTATATTGGTCTTAATAGATAATGAGTAAACATTTATTCACTTAAATTGATTAAATCCTATCCAAGTTTTTTTTAAGGCAGTTGAATTTTAGAACTGAATTATGAGAGATCACTTTTGTATTAATATTATTTTAGATACGTGAATCAGATATGCTGTTGTGTATCCACTTAAGTTGCATTTGACAGGTGTCATGGTGTCAGAGAGAGAGTGAGCGAGCGTGTGAAAGAGAGAGAGAGAAAATCGCAGTGTTCTCATAACATAGACATGCTGCTGCTGAGAGATCGATCTTCCTTTCCAGGCTCATCATGACGTCCTCAGCTTCAGGAATATATGGCAACTTTGGCCAGGCGAATTACAGTGCTGCAAAGCTGGGCCTTCTGGGCTTAGCCAATACTCTTGCAATTGAAGGGAGAAAAAACAACATTCATTGTAACACAATTGCCCCTACTGCAGGATCGAGAATGACTAAGACTGTTTTGCCAGAAGGTAAGTAATCTAGATTTTTCAATCCTATTATCTGCCCATTGGTATGGAGCGAGCTTTGCAACAATATTTCATTTTCTGAATACAGAAGAGAGTCATTTACTTTACAATTTCCAGTGCCTCACGTGTATATTTCTTCATTGTAGAAAATGTATAAAAACACAGAGCAAAAATACAATGACTCATAATTTTACTACCCTGAGGTCAACTTTGCCTGTATAGGTATACTTACCAGTCAGTGTATATTTTTCTGAGGTGGGATGATGAGAATTAGTTACTCAGTGCTGTCACAACAAAAATACCACAAGTGGTTGCTTTCAAACAACAGATTTATTTCTCACAGCTCCTCAAACCCAAACCCAGTACTTTATAAAGTCGATTCCGACTCATGTTATGTTAGGTGCCCTCATTAGTTCCAACTCCGAGAGACCCTCTGGGCAACAGAATGAAACACTGCCTGGTCCCCCGCTATCCCACAGTTATGTCATGTCTAAGCTCCTTCTTGCAGCCGCTGTACCAATCCGTCTGGCTGAGGAGCTGCTTTTTCTCCGCCCCTCTGGTTTCCCAAGCGTGATGTCCTTTTCCAGGGACTGTTCTCTCCTGACAAGCTGTCCAAACGTCTTTCCAGACCTACGCCTGCTCGTTCTTTGGCAGTCCATGGTATTTTCAATATTCTTTGCCAGCACCACAATTTGAAATGCATCAGTACTTCGATCTTCCTTATTTAATGTCCAATTGTCATATCATATGAGGAGATTGAAAATGCCATGGCTTTGGTCAGGTGCACCTTAATCCTCAAAGTAACAGCCCTGCTTTTCAACATTTTAAAGAGGTCTTGTGCAGCAGATTTACCCAGTGTAACTGGTCATTTGATCTCCTGACTGCTGTTTCCCTGAACATTGATTGGTATCTAAGCACAAGGAAATCCTTGACACTTTCAATCTTTTCTCTGTTTATCATAATGTTGCCTCCTGATCCAATTGTGAGGATTTTGGTTTTCTTTACATGGAATCATAATCTATATTAAAGGCTGTGATATTTGATCTTCATTAGCAAGTGCTTCAAGTCTGACTCAAAGCCACCCTGTGTAATGGTTCTGAGGCTATAAATATTTATGGGAGCAGGTACCCTTATCTTTATCCCACAGAGTGATTTGAACTAGTGACCTTGTCTAGTGCAGCACCACCAGGGCTTCTAGAAATTCATATTCAGGCTATAATCCCAGGGGAAAGTCCTTTATTTCAGTTTATAATAGTTGACACTCCTTGGCATTCCTGGGTTTGTGTATCCGTGTTCATATGGTATCTTTCCCTGCGTGTGTCTTTCCGTTCTACTATTTTTAGTTCTGAGAAGCGATTGATTCCTTGACATGAAGAAAGAAAACCCCTGATTTCCAAATAGGGTTTTATTTACAAGATTTAGGATTTGAACACATTATTTTTTGAGGTTAGGGGGATACAATTCAATCCATAACAGCATTTTTACTGTTTCATAATTATTAATATTATTTTTAAAAGCCAAATAAATTTGAAAATTTTTAATTGTTTAAAAAGATACCTTCTTTCAGGTGGTTTATTCCAATTAGGAATAGATCCATAAACATTTTGCTGTCATATTACTTAAAGTCTCCTTAACCTATGAAATTTCATCTCCCTTTTAAAAACAAGTTGCATATTTTTTGACAGAACTAGTTCATTTTGCTTTTATATGATTCCTCATTCTAGTTGGGTTTGTAATTTTACTTTTGTGGAAAATAGATTGACCACATGTTTGACTGCATATGGCCTATTCCTATATACTGTATTCCATTGAGCTATGTGTCTGGTCTTGTACTAGTGCTATAATATTTTGATTATTATACTTTATAACAAATATTAAAATTAGATATATACTTAAAATATAAAAACTTAAAAGTGCTTTATAATGCACGATTGAGAACCCAGGCCGTATACTTAGATTTGTAATCAATAAGAACATTTGGTGAGTGGAGGACTGTGTTTAGTTTTTGATCTTCTGGTTTCTAGGTATTTTTTAAAAAGTTATCAAACAGTACTTTAAAAGTAGTTTTTGTGACTTGGTACAGACAACTTTGTTGTCCAAGAAAGGGTACTTTCTCTTTGGCTGCTTTTGAGGTCTTCTCTTCATCTTCTGTGCTCTGTTGTTTCACGGATGTGTCCGGGCATATTGTCAGGTATCGTTCAGTCTGTTCTGCCTCAGTGGCACTCTGCACAATCGAATGAAGCTGTCCAGTTCTGTACCCCTCACCATTATTGTTATGTTTGAGTCCATTGTTGAAAACACTGTATCAGTCCATCTTGTCAAGTGTCTTATTCTTTTTTGCTGACCTTTTACTTTGCCAAGCATGATGTCCTTTTGCAGGAAATGGCCCTAGAAATGCGCCTACTTTACCAAGATGATGTCAAAAAGGACATCATCATGCAGGCATAGGTGTCTTTTATTTATCCAGTCCCCGAGTAGCACAAAGAGCACACTGGACTACGAACATCTGTGTTGGAGGGTTAAACTCGTCCAGTTGTGCTGTGGATGAAAGATGCAATCATCTGATTCTGTAAAGGTTTCCACTGCTCTCAAGTCAATGCTGACTTATTGAGACTCTACATGGGCTAGGAGGCTAAATGTTTGTAGTCTCATCTTTCTCCCTTGGTGGGTTTGAACTCCTCTACTTGTTCGTAATCTAAGATTTATCTGACAGTGGCACCAGAGCTCCTTAAATATTACTGCTAAAAGAATCCTATGGAACAGTTCTACTCTGTAATACTTAGAGTAGGCATAAATTGGAATTACTGGATAGCCACAGATTTTTATGGTTGGCTTACATTGTGGTTTTGGAACTTTGAATCTATGGCTTATGTTTTGTTTAATTTTACAAGTCTGGAAAATACGTAGTCTTAATTTTTAAAAATATCACTCCTTCATTCTTTCTTTTCTTTCAACATGTGAATGGGATACACCTGAATAAGTTAGACCGATATTTTTCTTTATATCTTTTAACACCATTTTCATATTTTTCTGTTCTGTCTCAATAGAATTCTGAGTAGTTTCATTTAGTATGCCTTTGTTAATTCATTTTTCATCTGTGTCTACTTAATATTTAATACATCCTTTGCAATTTTGCTTTTAAGAATAATCCCTCTCCTGCCAAATCTACTTTACTTATTTTTGATAATCTCTTGGCCTTTGCTTATCATTGTGATTGTATTCTTTACTTACAGAATCAATAGAGTCTCTATGTAATGTATTCTTCCCTAGA